ATGCATGTCACTCCCCATTTTCAATTCACTTCAAAAACTTCACCTTTCAAACCGTTAACGTAACCCGTCCCTCGGTACCCCCTCGGCGACACGAGAGAAGGATTGGCTACTGTCCCTGACCCTTGGTAACCTCATGGCGTCATTTAGGGCCCAGTTGGCTCAACCACGCTAGGGCGATCTCCCTAGTTCTCTCTAGGTTACATTAACGCTACGAACCCTCGGTACCCCCTTGGCGTTCAGGTTTTTCACCAAAAATCCTTTTCTCAAATAGGTTTCTCAAAACCCCCTTTTTATTCATTTCAAAGCATTTTCCGTCCTTCATGCCCCATGACATGCATGTATGTCTCATGTCTTCAATACCATGGAAACAGGATATTTTCAAATAACATAATTAATCATTCTTTGCCAAAAATTTCAAGGAAAAACATATATGATTACATACTTCATTTCTAGCACAATTCACAACATAATAGACATAGGAAATCAACATCTAAGCATGCTTTTCATACAAGTCAACATGTATATATAGAATCATGAACTTTAGACATTACAACAAAATCATCCTAGGGTAAATTATCATCAATTAGACAAATTAACAACAATTACTAGAAATTAACTCACAAAGGAACAAGAAAATGTGAGTTAGAGACCCCTACCTCAATTTTATGCAAAACCCCGAATTTTCACCTGAAACCCTAGGATTTTGTGATCCTTCAAATGGTGGTCAAATGGAGATTGGCTCCGGTCAACTCGTAGATCTTGTCGTGGGCTTGAATTTGCCGCAAACATCACTTAAAAACACTAAGTATTGAAGGAGAAATCTAAACTTGAAGTTTTGAAGTAAAAAGAAAAAGAAAAAGAAAAAGAAAAAGAAAAAGAGACTTTGAGAGGGTGAGAGAGAAGGTTACGGGAGTGAGAGAGAGAATTGAGAAAATGAGACGAAAATGTGGTCTCTAATTCTCTTAAATGTGCAAGGTGGGTCCCACCACTTTTCTTTTTATTTTTTTCCTTTTTCTTTTAGTTTCATTTTACACCACACACGATACATAAATATGTACATTAAATCATAACCATGTACAACACATTAAATAAAATAAATATGATGGAAATTGACCCAAACAAAATCCCCGTGAGCATTTTGGTAGCGGGTCCCACACGGGACCGTCCGGCCAGAAAAATGGAAAAATACAGAAATGACCAACCTTGCGTTTCAAAGAGTCCTGAATTGAATGAAATGCCCCAAACAACTCACCGACACAACCGACACACTCCGTAGTGTCTGGTACGCAAAACTGCAAAAGACGAAAATGCCCCTGCAGCGACAAAAATTTCAGAAAAACGAAAAATGGAGAAAATTGGAAACATCACACATAAACTTTCCTCCATTATCAGATCGAAGGATTTTGAGGGGACAACCAAATTGAATACATATCATCTTATGAAAGGTTTTTAAAATGGAATGAACTTCATCTTTGGTTTTCATAAGATAAAGCCAAGTATAACGACTAAAGTCATCAACAAACACAAAAAAGTAGCGAAAACCAAGTAACGAAGTAGTAGATTCAGGACCCCACACATCAGAATGAACAAGCTGCAAATGAGCTCTACTTCTATTAACACTAGTAGAATAAAAAACACAACATTGTTTGGCATGAACACATGTTTCACAATTTAACTTAAAAGATTCAACAGAAGCAAACTGGGAAAACATATGCTTCAAAATAGGAAGAGGTTAATGACCTAGTTTATTATACCATCGCAATAACATATCTTTATTGACATTACTAGTCCTAATACCTGATTGATTTGCAACATAATAAGAAGTTGGCTTCGTGTTTAGCAAATACAAGCCATTGTCTTCATGTCCACTTCCAATTGTCTTCCCCGTGTCCAAGTCCTGGAACACACTTTGAGATGGAAAAAAGGTTATACTACAATTCAATCCTTTTGTAATTTGACTCACATAAAGGATGTTATTGGTAAACTTTGGGACATGAAGAATAGAGGATAAGGTAAGATTAGGAGAGGCAGAAACAGTGCCCTTCCTCGCAATGGCGTTGAAGGTGCCATCTACTCTAACCTTATCCTTACCAGAATATAAATTATACAAAGAAAAACCAGATGCCATACCAGTCATGTGATCAGTGGCTCTTGAATCAATGATCCAAGGTAGATAATATGGAAACATGATTTGCCGAATGAGAGGTAATTGTCTGAGCAAAGTTAGAGGTGGCAATGGAGGCATTTTGAGCTAGTAGATGTCGAAGAGCATCAAGTTCAGCCCTGTACAAAAAACTTGGTGGCTTTGAGGAGGCATGACTGACTTTGCAGTATGTGCTGTAGATAACCCCCTAAATGGACCAGGCCTTAGCCTAGCATTCGCATGAGCAAGGGCTGGAGTAGGGCGACCGTGTATATTCTAGCATGTTTCCCTAGTGTGGCACGTATGCCCACAATGATCACACCTCAACTTGCCTTGTCATCCTGCCTCCCTCCTTTTAGAGGGTTGGGTTTGTTCCATTGTTGTGTGGCAAGAGCAAACCTCTCAGACAATGGTACTTCTGGCTCAGGCTTAGTGTATACAGGTGCAAAAATAGCCTTCATTCTACTCTTCTTAGCTTGAATATATGAAAACACCTCTCTAACACTAGTAGGTGCTGGATACCTGTCTAATACTTGTACCTTGGCATGCTCGTATCTCGGCTGCAGACTACCCAATAGCTCATAGATTCGATTCCTTTCTACCATAGCACGTAATGCTTTAACATTAGCTGCACACAGGTATGTAGTCTTGGTAGTGATCTAACTCTTCCCATTTACCACGTAGAGTATGGTATTATGTAGCAAGAGTTTGGTTTTCCTACTTGAATCTTGAAATGTGTTGTTAGAGTTCATAAAATTTTGCAAAATTACCAACCGAGGAATACGTCTCTTCCACAACCTTCCATAGCTCTATAACTGTTTTCGCAAACAGAAACCCTTTTGATTGAATGGTTGTTATGATTAGCATGATGGATTTATTCATATATCATCATATATGAAGAGAAAACAATGACAAAAAGAGGGGGAGGGGGAGGGGGAGGGGGAGGGGGGTTGGGGTAAGTAAATTAAAGCACTATAAAACATGAACAAGGAACACAAATTTTACATGAAAAACCCAAATGAGACATAATCCAGTGAAATAAAGAATTCACTATATATTACACTAGTTTAAAGTTCACATATCCCAGAACCTCTAGTTATCTCTTGACACGACTAAACCACCAAACTCTCCACTCTAGTTTCATTTACACAGTTTGCTCTGTAAACAGATTTTTGCTCGTTTACAAATGCTTATTTAGTAGCAATTTTGATCTCTATAGTCATCGTTCATTACAGTCTTTATTGTTTGTTGGTGTTGAACTCTTCAATACAACTCTACAACAATTTAGATGTCAATGCTCATACATTACACTCACTGTTAGCAGATATGATAGGCACGATTTATGGAATGACATACCGTTTTAGCAAAGATTTGATTATCTATAGAATATTTATGGAATGACATACCGTATTTAACAAAAATTTGATTGTCTATAGAATATGCTGTGATTTGTTTTAGATTTGATTTAATTTCCTTTCTTGTAAAATGAACATGTGCTCTTTTTTATCTATAAATACTAGATATGTGAATGCGTGGTTATGTCATTCATACCTTTTACATATTTCTCTTTTATTTCTTCTATATTGTATTTCTACTATATTGTATTTCTACTTGGTATCAGAGCTAGGGTGGTCCGACTGCAATGAGGGCATTATGAGTTCGGCACCACTCATTCGGGAATGGTCTAAAGGTGACATCGCCCATCTGGTAGGTGTCGGGTAGGCAGGGTGGTCCGACCTCAATAAGGGCGTTACGAGTTTGGCACCACATAATTAGAAATGGTCTGAGGAGACATAGTTGTTTCTTTGCATGGTATGAGAAGACATTATTGATTCTTTCATCTATACTGTTTAAACATATGTACGAAGGGGAATGATCTGAGGAGACATTGTTGATTCTTCCATTTACATGTTTTAAACATGTGTATGAAGGGAAATGGTTTGAGGAGATATTGTTGGTTGTTTACGGTCTGAGGAGACATTGTTGGTTGTTTACGGTCAGAGGAGACATTGTTAATTGTTTATTGTCTGAGGAGACATTGTTGATTCTTCCATTTACATGTTTTAAACATGTGTATGAAGGGAAATGGTTTGAGGAGATATTGTTGGTTGTTTACGGTCTGAGGAGACATTGTTGGTTGTTTACGGTCAGAGGAGACATTGTTAATTGTTTATTGTCTGAGGAGACATTTTTGATTTGTTGATTGACACTTCATTTGAAAGAAAATCATCACTAGTTAGATTTGCACTCCATTTGTCTAAAGATTGTGTTTGAAAATGCATTGTCCAAGTTGGGCGTTTTGGATATCCACGCACCAACTTGAGGGGGAGTGTTAGCAGATATGATAGCCACGATTTATGGAATGACTTATCGTATTAACAAAGATTTGATTATCTATAGAATATTGTATAGAATATGCCATAGAATATGCTGTGATTTGATTTAGATTTGATTTAATTTCCTTTCTTGTAATATGAGTATGTGCTCTTTTTATCTATAAATACTAGAGATGTGAATGAGTGATGATCTCATTCTAGCTTTTACACAATTATCTCATTTTTCTTCTTTTTATATTTCTTCTCTCACCAATCAAATGCAATATGATTGATGAATGCACTCAATTTTGCATAAAAAACCTCTTAAGCTTTTGTCTCTGTGTGTATATTGTATTTTCTGATATAGTAGGTTGTTTATAGACAAAACAAAGCTGTACAGAGAATAGGGTTCTAGAGTTTCAACCTGTACCACATTTTAAAGAAAATATTTACACTGGTATGAGAAAATTTGAAATAGTGACTGCATTTAATATTAAATCATTCTTGCAGAAGTAATGGGAATTTAAATTTTGTTTCTGCAGCATCCTGGAAATATAGCTGTGGATGATGTTAATGGAGGAAGGCTGATCTTCTATGATTTTGGAATGATGGGAAGGTGCTTTGGAGTCTCCAGATTGCATATCCTTTCTACTAAATCCCTTTTTGATTTTTATTATATGTGGTTGTGTTCCTTTGCAAATGAAAACTCTGCCTTGAACTCTTGCAGTATAAGTCCCAACATCAGAGGGGGCTTGCTGGAAACATTCTATGGAGTTTATGAGAAGGATCCAGATAGGGTAATTTCTTCCTTTCTATATGGTGGCCTGCAGTTGCTACTTTCCTGTAATTTCTTCCTTTCTATATGTTGGCCTGCAGTTACCACTTACCTGTAATTTTATCTAATGCTACAGTTATCTTAGCTTAATGCACTTCCTGGTTTACTTGGTCGGTTGTCGTTTACTTAATAATATCAAATCAACCATTCATGCAGGTTCTTCAAGCAATGATTCAAATGGGTGTGCTTGTGCCCACTGGAGATATGACAGCTGTCAGACGAACGGCACAGTTCTTTCTTAATAGGTGCTGCCTTAGTTGAAATTGAACCCGGGCTTTCTTTTCATCTTAAGTGGTGGTGGCTCAACTGATGGTTGGCCACCAGCAACAAATTGTCATATCCCCTCCGTTTTCCCTCCTTTGTTCAACGATATCACCCTTTCACTCCTGCTTTTGAGACTTTGACAGAAAAAAACCTATTTTTCTGTTGTTCAATCAAATAATATGATAATCAAGGGTAAAGGATTAAAAAGGAAAATGCAATGGTGGTCTTTGCATGTGGACAAAGTGGGGTTGTGTTCTTCTGAAATTGCTACTTTCAGATGACAATAACTGGAGCTTCAGATGTTTGGTTTTCTTATCATCTATCTTTTATTTTATTATTATTTCTTACGAAAGTAACTTGGTAAAATTGGCGTCCTCAATTTGAGAGCCTGACTATCATTATATACAAGTGGAAAATTACAAATATGGAAAAGAGAATAAAATCAAATCAAAATAAAGAGAATAAAATAAAATAAAATAAAATCAGAATAAAAATAAAATCCCTAAAAATTAGCCTATATTGAAGACCCAATAAATCTGTCATAATCGTTGAGTCAACTTATAGATAAGATTTCCAACACTCCCCCTCAAGCTGGAGCAAATATGTTGACCAAGCCCAGCTTGACTATGGAAGACTGGAGAAGAGAAGGCCCAACAGACTTTGCGAATACATCTGCAGTCTGTTCTGAAGAAGGAACAAAAATAGGATTAATGATACCTGATCGAACCTTCTCTCGAATAAAGTGAATGTCTACCTCAATATATTTCGACCGTTCATGTAAAACAGAATCAGAAGCAAGCATAATGGCTGATTTGTTGTCACAAAACAGCCTTGAAGAACCTTTCTGTACAAGACCCAACTCTCCCAAAATTGATTGAAGCCAAAGGAGCTCACAAGTACCTTGAGCCATAGCTATTCAGCTTCAGCAGAGAATCTAGAAACAACAGCCTGCTTCTTACTTTTCCATGATATGAGATGATTACCATAGAAAGTACAGAAGCCAGAGGTAGAACATCTATCTGTCTTACATCCAGCATAGTCTGCATCAGTAAAGCATGAGAGTCCAGACTGATTTCCTGAGGCATAGAACAGACCAAGACCAGGGCACGACTTAAGGTACCTCAAAATATGGTGGACTGCATCCATATGAGCTGAGCGAGGGGCATGCATGAATTGACTAATCACACTAACAGCAAATGTCAAATCGGGCCTTGTGTTAGTCAAGTAGATAAGACGACCTACTAAACGTTGATACACGGATGGATCTGGAAGTAATTCCCCTGACTCAACAGAGAGTTTAAGATTGGGGTCCATAGGAGTGGAAGCGGGTCGACACCCAAGCATGCCAGTATCTTGAAGAAGATCCAAAACATATTTCCTTTGAGATAAAGAAATTTCACGACGGGATCTAGCAACCTCAATTCCAAGAAAATATCGAAGAGGACCTAAGTCCTTCACATCAAAGGACTTTTGAAGATGAAGTTTCGCTTGAGCAATCCCTGAAGCATCATCACCTATGATAATGATATCATCCACATATACCAATAACATAATGCAACGACTATCAGAGCGATGTCGAATAAAACAAGTATGGTCTGAGTGGCAGCACACAAAGCCCATGGATAAAACAACATCGCTGAAACGACTAAACCAAGCTCTAGGAGATTGCTTCAGACCATAAAGAGACTTCCGTAGCCTATAGACTTTCCCAGTATACTCCCCCTCAGCCCGAAATCCAGGGGATGGATCCATATATATAGTCTCAAGTAAGTCTCCATTAAGAAATGCATTCTTGACATCTAACTGATGCAGAGGCCAAGAATGGGCAGCAGACAAGGAGACAAGCAGTCGCACAGACGTCAACTTAGCCACAGGAGCAAAGGTAGCACTAAAGTCTTTGCCCGGAATTTGAGTAAAGCCTTTGGCCACCAACCGAGCCTTATACCGATTAATAGAACCATCGGCTAAGTACTTCACATTAAAGACCCATTGGCAGCCAACCATTTTCTCCCCAGAACGTAAATCAACAAGTTCCCATGTATTATTATGGTGTAAAGCATCCATTTCTGTTGTCATGGCAGACACCCAATTGGGATCCTGTAGGGCCTCTGACACAGATCGAGGAATAGAAACGGTCCTAATCTTGCTCAGGAAGGATTTATATGCACCTGAAAGACCATCATAGGAGACATACTAAAAAATAGGGTGGTTAGTGCTACTAGAAAAACTATACCAATTAGGAGGATGACGATCACGGGTAGGATAACGGGAGGTACGCTCAGGAATTGTAGGAGCAATAGGAGAAGGAGAGTTACCTGGACCTGGTTCTGAAGATGATTCTGGCAGGGGAGGTTGAGTGCGATGGCGACGAGAGTAGACTTGCAAAGGTGGAGGGGAACCCTGCATGGATGGAGAAGGAGATTCCAGGACAGTGTGATTTTCAAAGAGAGGAACAGGACGGGCAATAGGAGAAATCTCCTTCTCCAGATCACAAGAGAGAGAATCCTGTACCACTGAATTAGTACTATAAAAAGGAACAGTTTCATGAAATGTCACATCAAGAGAATGATATATATGTTTGGTCACAGGATCATAACAACGATAGCCCTTTGACATAGCAGAATATCCCAAGAAAATACACCTAATAGATTTATCATCAAGTTTATGACGAGAACGACTACAGTTATGAACAAAACAAGTACAGCCGAAAACACGAGGCAGAAGGTGAAACAATGTATAATCAGGCTGGAGAATCTAAAGTGGTGCCTTACCACCCAAAACTCGACTGGGAGTACGATTAATCAGAAAAGCAGCTGTAAGAACAACCATGTGCCAATAGAATTTAGGCACATGCATACCACTCAGAAGACATCGGACCACAGACATAAGATGACGGTTTTTGCGTTCAGCCACGCCATTTTGCTCAGGAGTATAGGGGCAAGTGAGTTGATGTAAAATCCCCTTTTTATTAAGTTCAGACCGGAACTCATTCGAAACATATTCTCGTCCATTATCAGAACGAATATTACGGACAACAGTGTTATACTGGGTTTTGATCATTTGAAGAAACTGGGTAAATAAAAGAAACACATTAGATTTCTTTTTCAATAAATAAACCGAAGTACAACGAGAATAATTATCAATAAATGTCACATAATATCGATGTCCAGAGAAAGCAGTAACTGGGGAAGGGCCCCAGACATTATAATGAATAAGATCAAACATACTAGGAGCACGACTCATATGAGAAATATAGCTAGTTCTAGTATGTTTAGAAAGCTCACAAACTTCACATTGAAACTTATGGTCCTTAGATGCTTTATTTAACGAAGGAAACAATAGACATAGATATTGAAAGTTTACATGCCCCAAACGTGCATGCCACAGACTAAAAGTGCGAAAAGAAACATCATAAACACTAGAAGTAGGTAGGACAGAAGCTTGAAGACTCGTTCCTGGTGGTTCCCCAAAGTAGTAAAGCCCATCACGCTCATAACCCCTGCCAAAAATCCTCTTCGAACAAAGGTCCTGCAACAAACAGTGATTTGGTAAGAATATAACTACACATTGGAGGTTTTTTGCAAGCCGGCTAACAGATAAAAGGTTAAAGGCAAATTTAGGTACATGAAGGACAGATGAAAGAGTAATATTAGGAGACAGACAAACATCACCCTTACTGTGAATGTAAGATGTAGAGCCATCTGCAAGATACACAGATTGGGTAACAGGTATGACATTAGAAGAAAAAACTGATAACTCACCAGTCATGTGATCATTGGCCCCAGAATCCAGAACCCAAGTGGGCTGCTTGGCCTTAACATGAAATGCAGTAGGAGTACCTGTAGCAATAGTTGCAGTGGGAGCAGTTGAAGGAGCACAAACTCTAGAAGCAAGGGAGCCAAGCTGGTCCTGGATCTGCCCAATCTGAGACTGAAGCTGGCTCAGTCCAGGAAATGCAGTAGATCCACCAGTAGTAACAGGAGTTTCTGCAACAGCCGCAGTACGAGAAGAACCAGTTCCAGATAAACGGTTCCTAGAAAATTTTTGCTTCAGTTCAGGATGAAGTTTGAAGTAACGAGCCTTAACATGTCCAACCCCTCCACAATGGTGACAAATAATCTGACCTCCAGAAGCTCGTGATCCAAAGTTGGCTGCAAAAGCCATACTATCCCCAGCAGGCTCAGACACTGGTACAGGAACAATTGAGGGTTGAATTAAACGGTGCCTGCATGCTTCACCATCAACAGTAGCAAAGGCTTCCAACAGGGATGACATTGGTGATACATTCAAGATTTGAGACTTTAGTGGTTCAAATTCTGGGCGTAATCCCATCAAAAACTGATAGGTATGCTGACGATCAAGACGTTTGACAAGAAGAGAGGCTGCCTCAGAAGGAAATTCACTGAGAGGCTCATATTGAGCTAGTTCCTCCCAACGAGATCTCAAATACCCAAAATAATCAGTTACAGACAAATTCAGGCCTTCCTGCGAGGCCTTAGCAATATCTTGATATAATTCAAAAATACGAGCATCATTCCTAGAATGAGTATACATTTGATTCAAAGCAGTGCACAAGTCATTAACAGAGTCATAAAACATGAATATATTATAAATGCGTTCCTCCATAGAATTAAACATCCATCCTAAAATGGTGCAATTGTCCATATCCCACTGAGCATATTTAGGATCTTTAATATCTGGCCTTTTTTCAGTACCCAAAATCCATCCTGATTTGCCTTTTCCACCAACATAGAGGCGGAGGGAACGAGCCCAGGATGCAAAATTACAGCCATTCAACAGCACACTAGTAACTCGTTGAGCCGGTGTGTGTTGCGCCGAAAAGAGAGTTTCTTTATTATTACTTGATTCAGCCATAATATTAAATAGATCAATTCAACAGATTACCAATAATTTCAAATAAAGGAGGAATAAACCTGATTTTGATCAAACCAAGAAGCCGGAAACACGGAGATCTGATCTGAAAATGCTGCCGAATATCCCGGCAGCCCCAAAAAATTACAAACACGTCTTCTGACCCTTAGTGCATGAAAAAGACTAAGGGAATACCCCTACAGGGGTCGAACCTAGAGGAGATTGACTCCCCCTAGGACTGTCGCAACAGCGACCAGAAAAAGAGAGAAGGTCTGTGAAAAAAAAAAAAATAGGGAAGGAGCTGTAACAAGATAGAGAGAGATATTAAATGAGGCGGTGAAAGAGAGAGAGATGGGGGAGGCGTAGGTTTGTGGCTCTGATACCAAAAAGTAACTTGGTAAAATTGGCGTCCTCAATTTGAGAGCCTCACTATCATTATATACAAGCGGAAAATTACAAATATGGAAAAGAGAATAAAATCAAATCAAAATAAAGAGAATAAAATAAAATCAAATAAAATCAGAATAAAAATAAAATCCCTAAAAATTAGCCTATATTGAAGACCCAATAAATCTGTCATAATTGTTCAGTCAACTTATAGATAAGATTTCCAACACTTACGATGTTGGGTTATCTTTTATTTTATTATTATTACTATTATTATTTTATATTATGTTGGATGTAGTTAATTTATCCACAAAGAAAGGTTCTCTACTTGAGATTTATTTATTTATTATTTTTTTTGTGCAATTAATAGAAGTCTAAGATTGCATATAAGGAATTCTAATTTCTAGGAGGCTGGGCTAGAGGTCATCTGAAAACTTGTGCATTGTAAAAAGAAATTGGTGGGTTGCAATACTTTTAAGTGAAGGATGGTTTACTACCACAGTTCCAATAATCCTTATTAGTGCTCTATCAGTATTCTCATCTTTTGGTATATTCATCCGGGCTTCTAAGTTATTGCTTCTATTAGCGTGCCTGAGATTCTGATGTTTCCTTCTCGTAGTCGTGGTACTTTGCTTTCAGTAACCCTTTTCTGTATGACTAAGTCTATATTTTGACTGCAAAGTTATTTTAAAATTGGAATGGTAGACCTTTTGATGTAATTTTCTAATGAAGAAATAAAGAAATGGGTGTGAGAGTTTTCAGTAACTTCTGTATTTAATGTCTTTCTGATGAAAAGATTGAAAAAAATTGCAGCTTTGAAGAGCGCCTTGCAGCACAAAGGAAAGAGAGAGAGATGGCAACGGCAGAACTTGGATTTAAAAAGCCATTGAGCAAGGACGAAAGAATAGAGAAAAAGAAGCAGCGGTTAGCAGCAATAGGTAGTTTACTTGTATTGCCATTGTATCTCATGATAAGTCTGTAGATCTATGTACTTAATTTAGTTCGTGAAGTGTTTAATTTATTTAACTAAAGGACTGGTATTTTACCAAAATATTATGCTTAGTCTCCCTTGAAAGTGCCCAAGAATCCATATTGTGGCAGTGTGATATCAAATGAGGGGATTTAGGCCTTTATTCGGGGTTTAGACATGGTTCAATTATCATCTGGCTATTTGGTACCGCATATTTTTGTATCAAGACTTGCTGTCTTCAAGTTGCCTAGCCTGTGAAGTTTCAAAATTTTGGTTTACTGACTCTGATATACTTGAATGCAAGGTTTATCCCCGAATATTTTAATTATTATAATCAACTTTCTTTATTTGAATTTACCAGTCTCAGTCCGTTGATAATGCAGTTTACAACTTAGTATGTAATGACAACTGGTGCTCTTTTTAATTTGCTTATAGCAAACCACTGATTTTCCTTTACAGGGGAAGATTTGTTGGCCATTGCAGCAGATCAACCCTTCCGGTTTCCTGCAACATTCACCTTTGTTGTTAGAGCATTTTCAGGTATGGTATTGTGATTCATTTATTGTAACCAACTGACTATATCTATTACTATTTGCAACAACCTCATAAGGTATTATCTCCAGTGTTGGATGGCATTGGGAAGGGCCTTGACCCTCGATTTGATATTACTGAGATTGCTAAACCGTGAGTGTATTTTTAAGCTTTTCATTTTTAAGAATATCTCATTTAACCTCTTAGATTTGGGGCTAGTTATGTTTTCTTTTTTTGTATTTCTAATGTGTGTCATACCATATAGCTATGCACTGGAATTGCTGAGGTTTCGTGAAGCTGGTGTTGAAGTCATCTTAAAGGCAAACTTCGTTAACCTTATCTATTTTACGTGGTTTTAAACAATATAAGTATATTATTTATTTTTCACAGTTAAATGCACTGTATGTTACAGGATTTCAGGAAGAGATGGGACCGGCAGTCCCGTGCATTCTACAACTTATTTAGACAGGCTGATAGAGTTGAAAAGCTCGCTGAAATTATCCAAAGATTGGTAGTTATCAGGAATTTCTATCGTTTTCAGTACGAGTAATTTAAATGATTGTTCTCCTCTATTAATCATGTGATATGAATGTCTCACAGCATATTTAAATTGTGTTCTACAGGAGCAAGGTGATTTGAAGCTTCGAGTTCGAACTTTGGAGTCTGAAAGGGCTTTCCAACGTGTTGCAACTGTTCAGAAAACAATAGGCAGTGTGAGTTTAGCTTAAGCTGGCTTATGATCTAGTCAAAGCTGAAAATCTCGCTCACATCAACTTTTCATGAAATGTCTTACTAATTGTTGTCTTTACAAATGTTAAGTTTTTTTTCTTGATTTTTAAGTTCAAGGTTGCTTCAATAACAGGAGTTTGTCAAGATTGGATGCTATACTTTTCATAAATATGCTTTTATTAGAAAAAAATAAAATTTCTGGAAATTCTGAATAGTATCGCATGATAATCGAAATTCAAAGTATTCATTGCACATTTTTCAATTGTATTGTCGGCCATTTTACATAAGATTTCACCAAATGATACAATAAGGTTTCATAACTGCTTTTGCGTGCACTAGAGGACACATCTGCACATGCACGAGAGAATGCCTCTTATATGGATGCAGTCCCTTTTCTTTTTCTTTTTTTTCTTTTCCCGTACACTTAATAATAATGATTTTCACATTATGCAAATTGTTTGCATATATCATGCTGTTACATATAATTTGACAATTTATGAATTCAGTAATAGATTATTTATTAGGGATGATCTTTTCAGATGCAAAATCTTAGGACTTTCAAATTCTTTTATATATGTTTCTTAGAGTGGATATTATATCATATATTTACATATATATTTTTTCTTCCTATTATTGAATTTCTATTGGACTAATCAACAGGCAGTAGCAGCTGGAAGCCTAATAAACCTAGCCACAATTTTGTATCTCAGTTCAATTCAAGTAAGTCTTCCATATTGGTTTGTGTTTATAGCGACATTGATATCTCTTTTGTCCTTAGTTTACATTCTATGCTTCACTCAAATGGTCTTCTTTTTTAGGTGCCTGCTACGTTGGCGTACATGTTCTGTGCATATTTTAGTTTTCAAGTTCTCATTGGCATTTTCAAGGTTAAAAAATTTGATCAACGCGAGAGGTTGATAACGGGGACTGCTTAAATTTATGGTGAGTAATTTTGTTTCACTACAGTTCATGAATCTCATTCTTTTAGTTGTTTGCCTCTCTAGGTTGATAAAAAAAACTATATGAGAAGTGTAGCTTACAAATGGTTATTTAAAAGTGAACACTTCATGTCGAATTGGGTGCTTGGGGCCAAGTCTGTAAATCATTTCTCATGGACCCCAATCAAGAACAACTTGGACACACCAAATATACCAAATGTGTTGGCTTTAAGATATAATCAAATCAAGAGAAAGTGATAAAGAAGAAGAAAAAGAGAAGGAAGAGGTTGAGAGAAAAAGAGAGAGATGGGGAAAGAGAGAAAGAATGAAAGAATACTTTCATCTTTCCACCACATTCTATTTATAATAACAAGTTTCAAAAAGTACACATAAGCCTAACATTATATAAGTAATAATAAATAAGCCCCTGACAACACTCCCCCTTAAGCTGGTGCAAAGATATCTATCATGCCCAGCTTGACTAACATATTTTGCAAGCAAGTCTTACTCACACCCTTAGTCAAAACATCAACAACCTGATCATGTGTGTTGATGTATGGAGTACAAATCAGCCCACGACGAAGCCTTTCCTTGATGAAGTGTCGATCAACTTCAATGTGCTTTGTCCTGTCATGTTGAACTGGATTGTGGGTAATGCTAATAGTAGCCTTTTTGTCACAATACAACTTCATTGACTCGCGAACAAGATAACCCAACTCACCCAACATCGTATGTAGCCATAACAACTCACAAACTCCGTATGCCATGGATCTGAACTCAACCTCTGCACTAGATCTAGCTATTACAGACTATTTCTTGCTTCGCCATGAAACAAGATTACCTTCAACAAATATGCAATATCCTGAAGTAGATCGTCAATCTGTCACAGACCCTGTCCAATTAGCATCAGTATAGGCTTCAACGTGCAAGTGGCCATGACTGCCAAACAATATCCCTTACCAGGTGAACCCTTGAGGTAGCGAAGAACATGATGAGCTGCCTCAAGGTGAGGTGTACGTGGAGTATGCATAAACTGACTAATCACACTAATAGCGTAGGCAATATCCGGGCGCGTGAGAGATAAGTAAATCAGTCTCCCAACCAATCGCTGAAATCTTTCCACATTATCTAATGGGTCGCCATCTACATCATTAAGCCTATTGTTCTACTCAATGGGAATATCAATAGGTCTAGCTTCAAGCCTGTCTCTCTCAGCCAACAAATCTAACACATACTTTTGTTGAAAAATGAACACCCCTTTCTTCGATCTGCACACCTCGATGCCAAGAAACCTCAATGCCAAGAAAGTATCTCAATGATCCGAGGTCTTTAACTTCGAACTCTATCCCCAAGAATGACTTCATTCGACGTATCTCTTTTGGATCATTTCCATTGATAACAATATCATCAACATATACAATAAGGGCAGTGGTACAACCCTGGTACTTCATGATGAAGAGAGTATGATCTGCCTGACTTTGTGTGTACCCTACTCCTTTCACAGCAGTGCTGAACCTCTCAAACCAAGCACGTGGGGACTGCTTTAACCAATACAAGTCTTTATTTAGTTTGCACACTAAATTCTGACCGCAAGCTTAGACCCTGGTGGCATAGTCATATACACCTCTTCCTCCAAGTCACCATGAAGGAAAACATTCTTTACATCCAGCTGATGTAAGGGCCAATTTAAATTAGCTGCCAAAGAAAGAAGATCACGTATAGAGTTTATCTCGGCAACTGGAGCAAATGTTTCTAGATAATCAATTCCATAGGCCTGAGTGAAGCCCTTTGCAACTAACCGAGCTTTATATCTCTCAATTGCTCTGTCTGCATGATACTTTTTTGTATAGATCCATTGCCAGCTTACTGGTTTCTTACCCCTAGGTAATGGAACAATATCTCAAGTACCATTTTTCTCAAGGGCCTTTATTTCTTCAAGCATAGCTTTCTTCCATGGAGTTTGACTGAGAGCATCTAAAACATTAGAATGAACAGATACAGAGGAGATACACGAACTGAAAGCACGATATGTTGGAGATAAGGTATCTTAGGATACAAACTGAGATATGGAATGTTTTGTACAAATACGAACACCCTTACGATAGGCAATAGGGATATCAAGATCAATAGGAATGCTATTGGGAAAAGAATCAGGAGTATCAATGTCAACTAAGGAATTACCTGGATCGAGGGAGATTTCTTGGTCCTGGGGTGAGTCAATAACTTGTTTTGCCCCCCTAGTGTAGACAATTTGTTGCTTTCCTTGCTGCAAATCATTAGTGTTAGGAGGACTAGACATAGGCACCCTAGTAAGAAGATTCCCCTAAATGGGAATAGGCAAAGGAAGGGGGCATTCCCTCTGAATGGACAACGGATTCTCTACCTTTATAGTAGTCTCCCTTGACAGGGCCTCTTGGCGAGACCACTTTTGTGAGAGGTCGTTTCACAAGGTCAAAATATGAATGTGGTTTTGGAAGCTTTAAAAGTCATATTTACATTTATAAAACCACTATTACTATATAGCATAGCGAGTAGGGATCGTCTGCAGGGATTAAACACGTAGTTGGAATCTAACTCGACTTTAGTGAATCATAAGATTGCAAAAGAGAGGGTTTGGTTTGGTTTGGTTATTTAGTCTAAGGTGCAATTGAATGAAAATGCAATTAAATTAAACTAAAGTGTGCTAGGGTTTGAATGATAGGAAGAGAGGTTTAGGGCATTGGAATCACCACCAAGCTCATTCACTAAACCATATGCTTTCAACTAATTGAGGAAAACATCATTGTAATCTAGATGCGACTACCAATTGCAATATTAAGATTGAATCATCAAATTCAAGCATGAATTGTTTACTTAATCAACAAGTAAACTAAGGTGTAGCACAACCCATCAAGCCTAAGCATAATCCATCAAATTAGTCACAATTGTAGCACACATCAATCTAGAGAATAATGGAATTTGCAATAATAAGCCATGGATATCAAATTCAAGCATAGATTGTCTATCTAACAAGAAGTAAACTAGGTTGTAGTACAATCCATCAAGTATAAGCATAATCCATCAAATTAATTGACAAATCCATCCAATAAAAATCATACATAACCATCACTAAATACAAGTACAACAAGTATCTAATGTAGAGATCAATTCCCAAATAATCACACATAAGACAACATGTAATCACATAGAGAATCAATATGAAGAATTAAACCATAGAAATCAAAGGAGAACCCAAGATTCATTATATACTCAAGGCTATAGCACTAATCACAAGATATAAATCCCCCAAAAGATAAAAGACAAGGGTTTAGATTACAAGCTAGAGGCTCAACTAAGCCCCAAGGAGAAGTCTAGCCAATCATGGAGGAGGTGGATGTGGTCATGGAACCCTCAAGGGCAATCTCCAAACATGGCTTCATCTCCTTCCTCTTCTTCTTTGTTGAATTCTAGTGAGAGAGTGTGTGTAGATCTTGAGATGTGTTCTTGTGCCTCCACTCTCCTCTTTTTCCCAAAACCCTAATCTCTAACTTTTTTAGAGAGAAACCTAACAAAAAAAAATATAAAATGAAAGCTCCCTTTACAAATGGTTCAATCCCCCTTTTATACAAGACCCTTGGAGCCCAAAACAAGTCACAAATATGCCCAAAAATGATGCAATCCCGTAGTCATTTGGTAGGTGAAGTTTGGGCGAAACCGAGAATAAAATAGCTGCTGCCAGGAAATTCAGGATCGATCTTGACCAGGTGTGATCGATCGTAAGCTTGCTAGCATTGATGATAAGGCTTATCCACATGCTGACTAGGATTTGCGATCGATCGTGGCTTACCTATGATCGATCGTGATGATGAGGTGGCAGTGTGAACGATCCTGTTGAGCTATCTGCCTTATCTGCTGATGTGGCCACTGCGAACGATGACATGGACTTGCGATCGATCATGAGGGATCTGCGATCGATCGTAAGCCCCTATTTGGACATTTTTCTGAACTTTTTCTAGATTTTTCTCGATGCATTTGCTTGACTCCAAAAAGGCTTTAATGAATTGTTTTTAGCCCGTTTGAACTTTATTGACCTGAAATCGGCAAAAACACAAATTAGAACTAAAACGGGAAAATAAAGATAGATGCAAGGTATAAAATACCCGAGATTAAGGCTGAAATGTGCAATATATTAGCACTTATCACACCCCCAAATTTAGATATTGATAGTCTCTAGCGATGAACTACGATAAAAAAATGAAAGAAACATCTATACAACTACGAACTATAAATCAATAAATGGATAACACCGTTTTCGTAGGGATAACGGTTACATTTAGCATATGCAACAAGCTTTTTGAACCCTAGGTTACCCCTAGTGGACGAGTGAAGTCTTATGAGGGTTTCCAAAAATGATACCCACAAACATCAAGTTTTTTCTCACTTAATAGGCACCAACATTGCAAACAAATATTAAAAGGAAACTATCTCAAGTATGCCATTTTTCAACCATCTCTAAGCAATTTCCAAAATTCGAACAACAAGCATGCAAATATGGTCTTCCACATATTAAGTAAGATAATCATGCAAATCAAATCAATTCAATTCTAGCATCCTTTTGAGTGAACCGGCATCAAATATGTTTCTATTTTAGAAAATCAATGAAATAGGCATAACCGGCCTCAAACTAGCACACAAATCAAGCACCAATCATCAAGACTAAAAATAAACCTTTTATTCAATTTATTTTTAACTCTCTCTCTTTTTCTTTTTCTTTTTATTTTTTTATTTATTTTTTCAATGGGATCAAAGATAAGAGTATGATGCAATGTAAAGATCTTTTAAGCTTTCTAGAAGATTCATGTAACGAGTGATAGGTCAATGACTCCCAAATCGGACGGCTTTAGGGTATTAGGTGTAAAGACACCTCCAAGGACTTACAAACTCAAATTAACTAGGTTACAAATCAAAACAACTCTCATTTATCATTTCCTGACTCCTCACCTTTGGTGAGAAGTGCTCACTTTTTAAAAAAAAAAAAAATTTTTTAATTTTTTTATGTTTGATTGTTTGGGCCCTTCACTTTTCGACGCGAGAATTCAATGCTTAATGAGGCAAGATTCCCGGCTACTTGGTAAAAGGGTTTGTTATTTAGCATGCAAGGTCATTTTGTTAAGAATGAAAGCTTTTAAAGCCTAATAGCTCAATTGGGATATAACAATAACAATAATCAACTAAGCATGTATCCCACAAATGAATGCTAGTGTGCACATGTGCAAATGTAGTACTTTAGAATCAATCCTCAAAGCTTTCTCACAAACAAGATGATGTGGACCACAAAAGTAAGCATGAAATCAAACTTTTGAAGAATTTGCTCCTAAATGGCATCCAAAGGCATACAAGGAATATTGAACTCTCAAGACATGAAAATTTTCAATTCAATGGAACATGGGCCTCAAAAGATGAAAATCATAGTTAAAATGGATCTCAGATCTCAATTATGCAATTAAAGCTCAAAACTTTAGTAGAATGCAATAAAGCCATCTTACCCCCAAACTTAAATTGCACATTGTCTTCAATGTGTAATGAGAACAATGGAAAAGATGGAAAGAGTATACCATGGTGGCGAAAGCCTATGAAGCCCGGCAATAATCCAATTTGAAAGACTTCTCCCCCAAACTTGGAATCAACAACCTATTTGAATAACCACACTAACAAACTCATATCAAATGGGATAAGGATAAGCAAATCAAACATTCTAAGGCAATATAGAACAAGATGATAGAGAGAGATGAGATTAAGCCCTAGATAAAGCATGAAAATATGCATGACTACACATAAGGGGCAAAATGGTGAATTTTTTTTTTTTTTTTTTATATTATTCTTTTTATGAAAGCATGCAAAGAAACTAAATGCAAGAAAAAAATAAAGAAAAAAAAAATGCAGTAAAAATGGAAGATGCAAAAGAGAGAAGAAAAATAAAGTAGTAAAAATGCAAGTAAAAATGAAATGCAAAATACAAGAAAAGGTTTTTTTTTTTTTTTTCGAACTATGCACAAGTGCGACCGATCACACAGTGGTGCGATCGATCGCACTCCAGGTACGAACAATCGTACTTGGAATGTTTTCATGGCCAACTCTGCTTGCGCAGGCATACCGATTGCACCTCGGGTGCGATCGATCGTAAAAACTTACGAACGATAGGGCAGAGGCCTAAATTCAGGCCAAAAAAATTCTGGGTGCAGGTGCAATCAATCGCACAGTGCTTCGATCGATCGCACCTGCTGCTGCCTGGGCACTAAATGCTGAATTTTTTAAAAAATTTTGAGAATTTTTTAAAGGCAAAATTTTGCAAAGGCACTAAATGCTTGAAAATTTTCAATGGAGCGCAATTGAACTATCTAGACGATACAAGAATGAAAAATAAAAAGAAATGAGGGAGAAATAGAGTCGGAAAACTCTATGAAACTAGTTTTTAACGTTTCTAGCAAGACGTTGTGGCGACTTTCTAGTCAAAACTATCAAAAACCGGATATAGAACATCTGTATTTATTCTTTTGTCAATTTTTGCCATTGGATCCTCTCTCACAACAATGAACTTTATCTCCCCAAGGAATAACTTGAACATATATGGAAGATGTGATTTCGTTCCTCTCATCTACGGTCTTGAAAATGAAATAAATAATGGGCGGCCTTGCATATTTTTTATGCTCTTGAAGTATATTAAAAGAATTACTTCCTTTGTTAAGTGGTAAGGCATTGTCTTTCAAAGACTCAATTGGATTTTTAGTAAGTTCACTCTCTTCATTCCTTTTCTCTACCTCTACATGAATCACTGTCTTCTCACTCTCTAAGGTGGCCTCCATGACTTCATGATCCAAATTACAAGGAATGTTCTCATAAATCATATTGTGCTCTATTGGATTGGCCTTTGGCGGACTTGCCACTTCCTCCTCTATATAAGATAAGAGCACTTGCCAATTGCTCACTTGCCTCATCCTCCTCTATACGAGATAGCTCATTTGCTATTTGTTCAACTTGAACTTCTAGCTTAGCGATGGCTTGAGAATGCGAAGGAAGAATCTGTGTGTGTGCATTCAATGCATCAAGTAGAGCTAACACTTTATCTTCAAATCCGGGCGAGTACTTAGAAGGTGATGGAGTTGGTTCATCATAGAATGGTGGGGGAGGGTAGTAGTCATGAAGAGAATCACAAGAGTAATCAAGTCCATAGTAAGATGATGATGCTTGTAACGCATTGGACTCAATTTCATAAGGATTAAAATATGATGGAGGGTCATAAGGAGAAGGGGTGTACTGATCCCCAAAACATGGATCTAAAAATGGCTCCATTCACATTCAAAATCTCAATGCAAGAAAATAATGGCCTCGACAAGGACCGATGCATATAACAATTAAGTAAATGGCCTCGACAAGGACCTATGCTTGGACAAAAATATAACAATGTAATTAGCCTTGACAAGGGCTATCTCGCAAGCATATATAAATGAACAATTAAGCTACAAGAGTTTCAAGAATTGCTCACAAAGGTCCTAAGCAACAACGTCGGAATCCAAAGCTCGCTGTCCTTGTAGTCAAGTACCTAATTGGACATAGAAGATAGAGTGAGAAAGAAATAAAAAATAAAAATAAAGAAGCAACCAAATGAACACTATTGTCTAATTTAATTCCAACAAAACCGTTAATCTCCTACAACGGTGCCAAAATTTGACAGGGCCTCTTGGCGAGACCACTTTTGTGAGAGGTCGTTTCACAAGGTCAAAATATGAATGTGGTTTTGGAAGCTTTAAAAGTCAAATTTACATTTATAAAACCACTACTACAATATAGCATAGCGAGTAGGAATTGTCTGCAGGGATTAAACACGTAGTTGGAATCTAACTCGACTTTAGTGAATCACAAGATTGCAAAAGAGAGGGTTTGGTTTGGTTATTTAGTCTAAAGCGCAATTGAATGAAAATGCAATTAAATTAAGCCATGGATATCAAATTCAAGCATAGATTGTCTACCTAACAACAAGTAAACTAGGGTGTAGTGCAATCCATTAAGCATAAGCATAATCCATCAAATTAATTGACAAATCCATCCAATAAAAACCATGCATAGCCATCACTAACTACAAGCACAAGAAGTATCTAGTGTAAAGATCAATTCCCAAATAATCACACATAAGACTGCATGTAATCACATAGAGAATCAACAGCCATAGAAATCAAAGGAGAACCCAAGATTCATTTTATACATAAGGCTATAGCACTAATCACAAGATATAAATTCCCAAAAAGATGAAAGACAAGGGTTTAGATTACAAGCTTGGGGCTCATCCAAACCCCAAGGAGAAGTCTAGCCAATAATGGAGGAGGTGGGTGTGGAACCCTCAAGGGCAATCTCCAAACATGGCTTCATCTTCTTCCTCTTCTTCTTTGTTGATTTCTAGAGAGAGTGTGTAGATCTTGAGATGTGTTCTTGTGCCTCTACTCTCCTCTTTTTCCCAAAACCCTAATCTCTAACTTTTCTAGAGAGAAACCTAACAAAATAAAATATAAAATGAAAGGTCCCTTTACAAATGGTTCAATCCCTCTTTTATATAAGACCCTTGGAGCCTAAAACAGGTCACAAATATGCCCAAAAATGATGCAATTTGGTAGGTGAAGTGCGGGCGAAATCGGGAATAAAATAGCTGCTGCCAGGCAATTCACGATCGATCGTGACCAGGTGCGATCGATTGTAAGTTCCCTATGATCGATCGTAAGCTTGCTGGCATTGATGATAAGGCTTATCCACATGTTGACTCAGTGTTGACTAGGATTTGCGATCGATTGTGGCTTACCTATGATCAATCGTGATGATGAAGTGGTGGTGCGAACGATCCTACTGAGCTATCTGCCTTATCTACTGACATGGCCACTGCGAACGATGATGTGGACTTGCGATCGATTGAAGTGGTGGGTGTGGAACCCTCAAGGGCAATCTCCAAACATGGCTTCATCTTCTTCCTCTTCTTCTTTGTTGATTTCTAGAGAGAGTGTGTAGATCTTGAGATGTGTTCTTGTGCCTCTACTCTCCTCTTTTTCCCAAAACCCTAATCTCTAACTTTTCTAGAGAGAAACCTAACAAAATAAAATATAAAATGAAAGGTCCCTTTACAAATGGTTCAATCCCTCTTTTATATAAGACCCTTGGAGCCTAAAACAGGTCACAAATATGCCCAAAAATGATGCAATTTGGTAGGTGAAGTGCGGGCGAAATCGGGAATAAAATAGCTGCTGCCAGGCAATTCACGATCGATCGTGACCAGGTGCGATCGATTGTAAGTTCCCTATGATCGATCGTAAGCTTGCTAGCATTGATGATAAGGCTTATCCACATGTTGACTCAGTGTTGACTAGGATTTGCGATCGATTGTGGCTTACCTATGATCAATCGTGATGATGAAGTGGTGGTGCGAACGATCCTACTGAGCTATCTGCCTTATCTACTGACATGGCCACTGCGAACGATGATGTGGACTTGCGATCGATCGTAAGCCCCTATTTGGACATTTTTTTGAACTTTTTTTTGGAATTTTCTCGATGCTTTTGCTCTGGTCCAAAAAGGCTTTAATGAACTTTTTTAGCCAATTTGAACCTTATTGACCTGAAATCGACAAAAACACAAATTAGAACTAAAACGGGAAAATAAAGATGATGCAAGGTCTAAAATACTCGAGTTTAGGGCTGAAATGTGTAAGATTTCAGCACTTATCATCCCCCTGTACAGAATCCCGAGTGGTGGAAAAAAAAGGAACAGACTCAAAGAATGTAACATCCATAGAGACAAAGCGATGACGAGTGGTAGGGTTATAACACCCATACCCTTTCTGGGTGGCGGAGTGTCCAAGAAAGACACATCGGATTGCCTTAGGGTCCATTTTATCGTTACGATGATGAATGTGAACATAACAAACACAACCAATCACTTTCGGAGGGACAGTAAACAAGGCAATGTCATGGTGTAAAACAGAGAAGGGGGATTGATAACCAAGAGCCTTAGAAGGCATGCGATTGATAAGGCATGTAGTTGTTAAGGTTGCATCAGCCCAATAACTTTTAGGCACTCCCATCCCAATTAGAAGCAAACGGGTCACCTCCGTAATATGATGGTATTTTCTTTCAGCTACACCGTTCTGTTTTGGTGTATCGACAAAAGAGGTTTGATGGACAATCCCGTTATCAGCAAAAAAGGAGCCAAGACCACCATACATAAACTCGCCTGCATTACCAGATCGAAGGATTTTGAGGGGATAACCAAACTGAGTACATACCATCCTATGAAGGTTTTAAAAATGGAATGAACTTCATCTTTGGATTTTATAAGATAAAGCCAAGTATATCAACGAAAGTCATCAACAAACACAACAAAGTAACGAAAACCAAGTAACGAAGTAGTAGATTTAGTGCTATACTTTTATTAATACTAGTAGGATAAGAAACACGACATTGTTCGGCAAGAACGCATGTTTCACAATTTAACATAAAAGATTTAACAACAGCAAACTGGGGAAGCACGTGCTTCAAAACAAGAAGAGGTAAATGACCTAGTCTATTATGCCATCGCATTAACAAATCTTTATTGACATTACTATTTCTAACACTAGATTGATTTGCAACATAATAAGAAGTTGGCCTCGCGTTTTGCAAATACAAGCCATTGCCCTCACGTTCACTTCCAATCGTATTCCCATGTCCAAGTCCTGAAACACATAATGAGATGGAAGAGAGTTACACTGCAATTCAAGCCTTTTGTAATGTGACTGACAGAAAGGAGGTTATTGGTAAACTTTGGAACATGAAGAACAGATGATAAGGTAAGATTAGGAAAGGCAGAAACGGTGCCCTCCCCTGTAATGGAGGTGAAGGTGCCATCAACCACTCTAACCTTATCCTTACCAGAACATAAACTGTACGAAGAAAAATCAGATGCCATACCAGTCATGTGATCAGCGGCTCCTGAATCAATGATCCAGGGTGGCCCACTAGAGAATGTGGAAACCTGATGTGCCAAATGAGAGGAACTTGTTTGAGTGAAGTTAAAGGTGGAAATGGAGGAATGTTGTGCTAGTAGATGTCGGAGAGCATTAAGTTCAGCCCCGAATAAAGAACTCGGTGGCCCTGAGGAGGCATGACCAGTAGAAGCAGTCTCATATTGTTGTGCAGTATGTGCCATAGATAGCGATGATAGTATGGGCGGGGCGGGGATCTCATTCCCCATCCCCATACTCGGTAAATTTTTTCATCCCCATCCCCTCCCCCATCCCCGTTTAAAATTTCACTTCCATCCCCACCCTAGCCCCTCATTCCCCGTCCCAGCACTGCCCAATCTGAGACTGAAGCTGGCTCAGTCCAGGAAATACAGTAGATCCACTAGTAGTAACAGGAGTTTCTGCAACAGCCGCAGTACGAGAAGAACCAGTTCCAGATAAACGGTTCCTAGAAAATTTTTGCTTCAGTTCAGGATGAGTTTGAAGCAACGAGCCTTAACATGTCCAACCCCTCCACAATGGTGACAAATAATCTGACCTCCAGAAGCTAGTGATCCAAAGTTGGCTGCAAAAGCCATACTATCCCCAGCAGGCTCAGACACTGGTGGAGGAACAAGTGAGGGCTGAATTAAACGGTGCCTGCGTGCTTCACCATCAACAGTAGCAAAAGCTTCCAACAGGGATGGCATTGGTGATGCATTCAAGATCTGAGACTTTAGTGGTTCAAATTCTGGGCGTAATCCCATCAAAAACTGATAAGTATGCTGACGATCAAGACGTTTGACAAGAAGAGAGGCTGCCTCGGAAGGAAATTCACTGAGAGGCTCATATTGAGCTAGTTCCTCCTAGCAAGATCTCAAATACCCATAAGAATCAGCTATAGACAAATTCAGGCCTTTCTGCGAGGCCTTAGCAATATCTTGGTATAATTCAAAAATACGAGCGTCATTCCTAGAATGAGCATACATTTGATTCAAAGCAGTCCACAATTCATTAACAGAGTCATAAAATATAAATATATTATAAATGCATTCCTCCATAGAATTAAACATCCATCCTAAAATGGTGCAATTGTCCATATCCCACTGAGCATATTTAGGATCTTTAATATCTGGCATCTTTTCAGTATCCAAAATCCACCTTGATTTGCCTTTTCCACCAACATAGAGCCGGAGGGAACAAGCCCAGGATGCAAAATTACGGCCATTCAACAGCACACTAGTAACTCGTTGAGCCGGTTTGTGCTGCGCAGAAAAGAGAGTTTCTTTATTATTACTTGATTCAGCCATAATATTAAATAGAACAATTCAACAGATTACCAATAATTTCATATAAAGGAGAAATAAACCTGATTTTGATCAAACCAAGAAGCCGGAGACACGGCGGTCTGATCCAAAAATGTTGCCGAATATCCCGGCAGCCTCAAAAAATTACAAACACGTCTTCTGACCCTTAGTGCATGAAAAAGTAAGGGAATACCCCTACAGGGGTCAAACCTAGAGGAGATTGGTTCTCCCTAGGACTGTTGCAACAGCGGCTTGAAAAAGAGAGAGGGTCTGTGAAGAAAAGGGAAAAAAGAAAAAGGGAAGGGGCTGTGACGAGATAGAGAGGGGGGATGCGTAGGTTTGAGGCTCTGATACCAAAAAGTAACTTGGTAAAATTGGCGTACTCAATTTGAGAGCCTGACTATCATTATATACAAGAGGAATATTACAAATATGGAAAAAGAATAAATTCAAATCAGAATAAAGAGAATAAAATCAAATCAGAATAAAAATAAAATCCCTAAATATTAGCCTATATTGAAGACCCAATAAATCTGCCACAATCATTGAGTCAACTTATGGATATGATTTCCAACAAAATCCAAACACCCAATGATACAAATCAGAATATAAGATTGATCTTAGCAATTCAATCCTTCCTGCAATAGACAAATTAATAGTATTCCAATGAGCCAGCCTCTCATTAATCTTGCCCAACAACATCCTAAATCCACCAGCTCTCAAATTATTATTAGACAAAGGCAACCCAAAATATTTAAAAGACAATTTTCAGTCTGAAACTGCAAAATATTGGATACCCTTCTTCTACCTCTAATTGATTTGGAAAAAATAATTGAGCTCTTATCGTTGTTGACCTGCAAACCAATAGCATCCTTGAATTTTTTGAACACATCATCAATGGCCTTAACACTTTTTTTTTGGTAAGTAAAATATATTAGAAAAGCGTTCAAAAGGGGAACGCGTCCCTAATACACAAAACACAAAAAAGATCTAAGTACCAATAGAGTCCAATAGATCAAATAAATCATCAATCGAGGAGCAAGTGCTTCCTCTTACATAACAAAAAAGAGAACGAAGAATATGAATTTTTAAATTTGTTAGAGACGATTCCTTTCCTTCAAAATTTCTGTTATTTCTCTCTCCATATACATAACCAAACACAGTGTGGAACAATCCTCCAAAAATCACCGGCATGACCTTTGACTGGGCATCTTTTCCATGCGTTAATCAATTGTATGGAGTGCTTAGGCATTACCCAATAAACGCCAAAAATACTGAAAATGAGATTCCAACAATCGTACGTCACAGGACAATGCATAAGAATGTGATCGACGGACTCACCGTCTGATTTACATAGACAACACCAGTTAACAATGGTGTTGCCTCTCTTTCTCAAATTGTCCAACGTCAAAATCTTTCCCCAGGTGGTACTCCAAGCAAAGAATGCGACTCTAAGAGGAGCTTTAGAGCGCCATATAGACTTCCATGGGAAATCTTGACCAACGAAATTGGACAAACACAAGAACATGAATTGGACAAACACAATGTCCTTAACACTTTTACCACCATTAAAAGGTCATCTGCATAAAAGGTGTGGGATATCTGCATATCTGCCTGGGACACAACCTTGGACAGCTTGATCTTACCCTCCTCTATAGCATGAGCCATCAGATTACTCAAGTATTCTGTTACAAAAGAAAATAAGAGAGGAGATAAGGGGCAACCTTGCCTGATGCCTCTGGACGCAGAGAAAAAACCAGCTGGAACTCCATTACACAAGATTGAGTATTTTGGAGAAGATATACATGCAGTGATCCATTTGTCACTGAAACCATACCCTTGTAACATTCTCTGGATAAACTCCCAATCAACTGAATCATAAGCTTTTTTCAAATCTAACTTCAAGGCTATAAGTTGGATCACCATGTTTCTTACCAAATCCCTTGATTAGATCAGAAACTAGTAATATATTATCATAGAGTCTTCTATTTTTGATAAAAGTTGATTGCTCAGGTCCAATAATATTGGGGAGAACACAACTCAATTTATTTGCCAAAATCTTGGAGATAATTTTATAAACAAGGTTGCACAGGGCTATAGGCCTATGATTTGCTATTTTGTCTCCATTGTTAGCCTTAGGAATACGAGTAAGGAAGGTGGAATTATTACCTTCAGGAAGAGTACCAGCATTGAAAAAATGGCAGACAGAATTAATCAAATCTTGCCCAATAATTCTCCAATAATGCTGAAAAAATCTGGCTGGATATCCATCTGGACCACGGGCTTTATCAGGATGGAAGTGCATGACAACATTTTTTGTTTCATCTGCAGTTATAACACAATCCAAACTATGACAATCTTCTTGACTCAGAACCTTCCTAGGAGGCCTAAGCTCAGAATTCACCTCTCCTTGTTTCTTATACAAATCAGCATAAAACTGGACCAGCCATTCTCTGATAATTTTAGGATCTGCAGAACTTCTCCTGTGGAATTTTGCAATTGGGTAATTGAATTTAAACATCTCCTTTGGCTGACCACATTGTGAAAAAATGCAGTACACTTACCCCGCTCTTGAAGCCATTTGATCCTTGACTTCTGAGCCTAAACAATTTCTTCAAGGTCAAGAGCAGTCTGCAGCTTACCAGAAGCATCTCTCTCTAGCTATACAGTCTTGAGTTTCTGGCCCTTGTACCATCTCCATTTGGACTGAATGTAACTCTTCTCTGGCTGCTTGAATGTGTTCAGAAGTTGTGCCCTTAGCATTGTTCCATTCCTTGACAGCAGCCTTCAAAACTGCAAAAACCCCCCTCAACTGTCCCATTTGGTAACCTGCCCCCCTGAAACCGCAAATCCCCCCTAATCTATTACAAATTGGAAAATAAGACCGATTTGTCAACATGCCGTTCAAGACCTGTGTTACCTGGACTCGCCTGTTCAGGCCGAAGTGTCCATGTCGACACGACACGACACGGACACGGACACTGGATCTGAGTCGGATCCTTCATGGCGTCTACCGGACACGGTTGATAGATGATGAAAACTCAAACAAAGATGTTTGGGTTGGTAGTTGTGAAGGATTGCGAACTTTCTTCATGCTTTATTTGTTAAATAGGTTGCCATTAATGAGATCAGAAAACTTACTGGTACAATAATGGCGGTTTGCTTCAAAAGTAGCGTCTTTCGAAGGTTAGAGAAGGCTGAAGTGTACGCGCTTTGGTTTGCACAAAATTTTGTAACAGCCGAGCGTGTTTTCACATTCTTACTAATGCTTTTAATACCCTTCAACGGTCACGATCATGCCACTTGTCAATTTGGATGTAAAAATATGGGAGAGTTTGGTCTTTTAACAAGGATAATGTTTTACAGCTGTAAAACACTATCTAAGCTATGAACAATTTACAACTGTACTGGGACAGCTGTATTATTTTATTTAAGTAATATCTATCGGTCAATCTCGAGCAAATTTTTTGACCTGATAGTTTGACTTTATAAATAAGGTAATATTATTATAATAGTTATATTACCTTTTTTTTTTTTTTTTTTTTTTTTTTTACAGTAAATCCATTCATTAAAAAAAAGAAACTGTACAAGGAAAGGCCTAGCCCAAAGGCAGCCCAGAAAAACAAAACTAAAACAGGCCCACACAGGAGCACATTGCAGTTGCATCCACAACTGTAAGAACAGGTACAAGTGCAACAACAGAGCAAAAAAAGAAAACCTGCATCACAAAAAAATAGAGCTTGGAAGGCTCCACGCTGCTATCTTTACATTTATATATTTATTCAATTTTTCATTAAAAAACTGAGGTCTAACATAAAAAAGGGTACATTTTTTTCTTTTCCTACAAGTGTCCAAGTGTCCGTGTCCAACTTTTGGACACTTTTATTCCGTGTCCCCGTGTCCTATAATTCGATAGATGGATGGATCCGACCTCTGGACACGCACCTGTG